CAAAATACAAAGACAGTTTTAAACCAAATCCAAAAGTTGAATGAGCAGATGGAAAGACAATTGACGAAGGTATTGATATGGCTATTTTTATTAAATATATTGATTTGTGCTAATGTTGCATTTTATTTTTTATTTTTTAAGGCAATTGATGAAAATTCTAGATTGAATGTGGAAATTGCAAATTTGAAAAATGACCTTAGTAGTCAACAAATTAAATGGGAGGAATCGCAAAAACGAATCAACAAAGAGATGGATGACCTTATAGTTTCAAAAAGCGAAGCCGAAAACTTGGCGCGAAATGTCCAGAAACTGTCAGAGGAAAAGGAACATATAGATAGCGAATACAAAATTGCACAGGAAAAATTATTATCTGCACAAGCAAAATGTGATAATTTGCAAGAACAACTTGTTTCTGTGAGCGAAAAATATTCTAATGCCTTAAAAAAATCGTCTGAAGAGCATAGCAAATTCGTTGAATCAAATAAGACGTTGCAAAATAAGATTACAGAGCTAGAAGATGGGAATAGAAATCGTTTGGCAGAAATGGAAACACTTACGAAAGAAATTCAGGCGCTGAAAGACCAGCTCTCCGTTTTCCAAGCAAGCGATCAAGGCATCGAAATTGTCAGATTGAAGTAAGTTAAAAATTTTTCTGATTAAATCATCAATTATAATGTTAACCATATATGCCTAATTATTTTGTAGGACTGAATTGGAAGCTAAAGAAAAGGAAATTGTTAATATACGAGATGAGTCTCAAACCTACAAAGAATTATACGAAAAATATCAAACGGAATTAAAAAATAATGAGCAAATATATAATGAATTAAAATCTGCTGCAGATGAAGAACGGGAAGCAAATCTAGTAGGTTTTTAATAAATGAATATAATTATTGTTTTTTAAAATGAAGGCTAACTTTGTCATTAGGCCTCGATAAAAAAACTTCAAGATGAACTCTATCCTGTAAAGGAGGAACTTGATCAGAAGATTGATGAATTGCGTAGTAAAGATCAAGAGCTTACAACAGCACGTAATGAAGTAGTAAAATTAGAACAGATGCTAAATGAAGTTCGCGCAAACTCTAACAATGAAAACCATCAGCTCCGTGAAGAAATGACTAAACAAGAAAAATTATTAGAAGAAGCACAAAATAAATACAATCGTGAAGTGCTTGTTCATGCTGAAGATGCTCAATCTATACTCGCATTAAATTCAAGACACGCGCAGCTGAAATCTGAATTCGACCAATTGAAGGTTATATTTATATAATATTAGCTTGCGTCGTGTAATAATGTGTTTATTTTTATACTGAAATCCATTATAATTTTCTAGATTCAGTTACAAAAGTCAGAAGAACTTTGGAATGATGAAAAAGATAAACTTGAAAAAGAATTGGAAAAGACACTTCAGCGGTAATCTGATTAGGGCAGTTGTGTAAATGAATTGTTGGGCTGTTATTCATTGTTCCATAATCGCACTAAATTTTGTAGATGCAATGAACTTGAAGAAAGCAATAAAACGCTTCATGAATACTTTGATGTTGATTCTGGAAGGACTGTGTCCCAAGACCAAATAATTTCACTTTTGCGTATGGAAAAAGAAAAGGCAGAAACCCAAAGAGAAGCACTCGCACAACAAGCCGAAAGATATAAAGCTCAATATGAGCACACTCAAAAGTCACTGGATGATGTGCGTGCGTTGCTCATTCAGGTACGAACTTTCTGTTTATAATTTGAACATTTTAGTTTTCAAATGCTTTCGTAATGATTTAGACAATTTTGCTATACGTGATTGTTTAGGAACGTGAGCAAACAGAAAAGGGTGGACCTTTGGAGAAATTGCAAACAGAGCTTTCAGAAAAAAATACTCAATTAAAACTCCTTGAAGAAAGCAATCAGACATTGAGAGCTACAAGTGAACGATTAGAGAAACAAGTTGTTACGGCGCAATCTTCGTTGAAAGAAGCAGAGGAAAAAATACAAACATTAGATGGTAATAATTAATGATATTGGTGCAAATTTAACACAACGATGAAGTCTCATTCATTTATTATTATTATTGTGGTTAAAATAGAACAAATTAAGAGTCTACAACTTGACCGAGATAGTTCCGCCCAAGAAATGAGAATACTCAAAGAGGACAAAGAACGGTGGAAAAACCGATTTCAAACCGTGTTACAGAAATATGGTGTATGTAAATAGTTTTCTTCGACAAATAATAATTAAATAACATTTAATTGATGTTTGTCATTCGAAAACAGATCAGCGATCCTACCGAATTGCAAAATTTGAAGGATAATTTGAAATCCACCACGGAAGAGCGTGATAAACTTAAAGCAGAAAATGGTAAAATACGGAACGATTATGCCTTGTCAAGAAAACAGGTAATAAATCTCAGAATAATTCTAATAAAAGATAGTTTGTACAAGTAAATTAAATAGTTAAAGTGACGATGTTCCATTATTTATTTATTACTCTTTTTT